TTTTTTTTTTTCTTCTCAGATATCTGAAGGGCTCAATTAGCTTTTTTCCCAAGTGCCACTTGAAACTGTCGCAGAAAACGTCACGGGAAATCTTGGAAGCAGTAAAATAGTAAACACTTCTAAGCGCCACTATCTTCAGAGGGTGGTCTCTAGAAAAACGAGTATATACCTCGCTTTCAACCCTTAAGGCACGAGATCCGCTGCTTTAATATTTTTATTTCTTCGCGATATAAGGATTATCTTGGAAAGTACGTGGTTTCAAGAATCGAAAGTTTCGACAAAAAATATCATATCATCTTGGATCAAAAAGAATGTATTTAAGAATTTTACTCTACTGTGAAAAATTTACTAAGCAATTATTTTCTTATTATTATAAAAAAAAAAATATGACTTAAAAATGTATTAATACGTTTTAATTGTTAATTTCTATTAGATTTGTAAATGCGACGAATAAGACGTTTTACAACAGCGTGGCAAGGAGTTAACGGAACTACGAAATACACACGGTGCAGGATTTCAAGTAGGAAAAGACAAGATGGCCGTAACGCTTCTCTTTCATCGGATCGTTCGCTGTAAGGCAAACAAACTCCTTGAGAATTCGTGATCCAGAGAGCGTACGATACGCCGGACAGACGTTGGATGACATTAAATAATTGCCCTCCCGATGCTTCACTTCCAGATTTCGCGGAAATTGGTTATTACAGTTAAAGTTACCAAAAAACATTCAAATTCATTCAATTGTTCATTCACGTTGTTTCGAATCGTTGTTTTTTATTTAAAAATTTTTAAATTGGATAGATTAAAAATTGGAATTTTCAGATTGTTAAAATTTAGATTAAAATTTAGATTATTAAAATTAGACGCCCAATTATTTTTTTTAGTTATATCCTCTTAATATTAATATTCTTATGTATAATAAGCGAAATGTGAAATTTTCTTTGTTCGAAATTTTAAATCTCTAAAGACGTGGATCGAGCCTTTCGAGAATCGATATTAAAGTGGCGCACGTGGAGCCATGACTTTTGATAAGCGGCAATCTCTATTCTTTCAGGGCCAGTTACTCGACACTCCATCACGTGTTTCGATATATAAACATTTCGGTTTGATTGACCGCGATCAACGAGTCAATTGACAGGCGGATTGTTGAGACTTAGCGGCAGGATTGAAAACATTTCGATAAGAGAGTTTAAAGACTTCATAAATAAAAAAGTAATACTTATACGTATATCTACGTGTTAAAGACTCAAAGGTTCATAAAGAAACCGTTATAGAATAGTTGAATTACATAGATATAGATTATTTATTAATTAATAATAATAATTTTTTATTATCAAGGTAAATAATTAATCTATATTACTAATAATATTAAAAATTCTATAGGTTAGATTTTTGTATATTTATATATAAGTATCTACAATAATATAAAAAATTATATCTTTTTCTTACTTAATAGATAATATTATTTTTACATGGTAATGTGAAGTGTTTATTTTTTAATACTTCCAGCATTATAAGCAATCAGAAATGGCGAAAAGGACGAGATCCAGACCATTTGTATTTTATTTTTATTCAGAAATGAATATTGTCGTATATCGAATCTAACCAGTTATAATACAATATTGATAATTAATGTTTTTAATAATTCTTTTTTTTCATCGGAATTAGCGAAAAGGAAAAAGTAGTAATACTGAAAATTTAATATTCCATGAACGGAAATTCATGATGACGCTTAAGATCTATTAGAAACTGACATCACGGGTAAAATTTCCAGATAATCGGTCTTAATTTCAGGATAATCAATGATGCACGAGTTCCGAGAGAAGCTCGAAACAGAAAATGGAGGGCGGTTCTACACTCGGGCGGAGCGTATTTCTAACCTCTCGTTGGCTAACAACATGGACCAATCATTTCTTCAAGCTTTTTCGTACCATTTGCAAACGCGTATCCAGAAATTATAAAATTCATTGTTCGAGTAAGTTGTCTCTATTAACATCGAAATAAGTAATTCTAGACTGAATAATAATCAACTATTGTATTAATTAATTAAAACAATATTTTTTACCAAGTTACAATATACAAATTGTATTTTTCTATAATGTAAGTATTAATTATACATGGTACAAATATACAGTGTATGTAATTAATCACAAAATCTATATTTACTACACAAAAAAAATTAAAATTATTACAGCTAAAGCTATACAAAGATAGAACGAAGCATTTTATTTAATTTTTGAACAACACACTTTTTAGAATTATTCACAATTATTATATCACGTTGATATATGGACATCAATTGGTCAAATTTTATCTTTTCTTTGCCAAAGGTAAGATATTACCTACAGAAATAATATTCCTTTTCAATCTGTATTAAAGTAATCTACTTAAATTAAAGATACTTTCTTAATATTTAAATTCTATTCAGCATATACACCAAGTACATACTCTCTTCTCAAATCACAGTCAATTGAATCAATACACCAATAAATCACCATTCCAAGATTTCATTGCAACAGGAAGACAGGAAAAGTTATGCAATTTTCATTACAATCTTCCATCAAGCGATCGCAACATGTTCGATTGTCGTTCTCGGTATTCGAGTTTATCTCCGTCGGGCGTGACACGAATTGGTGAAGATCAATTCCCATTGGTCGTGACGGCGAGCTTCAGCGTCGTGGACTGGTCGCCGACCAATCAACGCTCGAGTCACCTCCCCTCGACTCGCCACGCCTACTCAGGGGGGACGAGGTTGGCTCCGTGACGGAGCCGTGGCCTCGCGTCATCGCGATGTACCAAGCTTCCACCGGGTTCAGAGTTGATCGCGAGTTCCAGTCATCCGAAAACACTTAGCGGCGCATCAGCGCGACGTCCGCCAAAGTGGCAAGTTTAAATAATTGACCCCACCGTTCCTCGTGCAAACAATTTACATACGTAAATAACGGCTTCTTTCATCCTCCTTTTGTATTGTGATCACGCGTGGAAACATAGCGCGAATTCGTCCTTGTGTGGCAACGATCGAAACGAGAAACGTAAATAATAATAAATACGAAATAAATTGTTTTTTTTTTTTTTTTTTTTTTACTTCATCCAATTACGAGTGAAAGGAATCGCAAATAAGTGACGCGATAAAGGGTGTATAGAATTTAATCTTAGAGGATCCTGCTTTCAAACTGCTTTCACCGATCGTTTTATTCAGAACATATATTTATTTTCTCGATTACTTGTGATTTTGGAAATCATCGATTAGAAATTTGTGAAACGATTGGTTAAAACTTGAGATCGATATTCGTCCCTTGAGTGAGGTGAAGGAACTACAGTTGAAGTTTTTAGAATGTTTCTCATCGAGTGACAAAACTGGCCACGACGGATATCCCATGGATCAAACGGTGATCGTCCCGTCGACTCCTCGGGGAAGCGCCGTGGACAACTCGAGGATCGCAATGAAGAACGAGACAGACTCGAGTATTCACATTCAAGATCAATCGACGGTCTCGAACTCGGGTCCAACGGTGGTCCCTCGAGCCAATCTAACCATTGCTAACCCTCTGTCTCAGGATCAGAGTTTAGACTCGTTGATGTGCAGCCAATCGAGCACCGAATTGCCGAGGAAGCCTGGAGCTCGGCGCCAGGAGAAGCCACCTTACTCTTACATAGCGCTGATCGTGATGGCGATCCAGTCGAGCCGCGAGAAGAGATTAACCCTTTCAGAGATTTACTCGTTTCTCCAGCAACACTTCCCCTTCTTCCGTGGCGCTTACCAAGGATGGAAGAACTCCGTCCGTCACAATCTCAGCTTGAACGAGTGCTTCATCAAGCTTCCAAAGGGTTTGGGCAGACCTGGCAAAGGCCATTACTGGACCATCGACCCCTCCACGGAGTACATGTTCGAAGAGGGAAGCTTTCGCCGGCGGCCACGAGGCTTCCGTCGCAAGTGCCAAGCGCTGAAGCCTCAGTACCCCCAATACTTTTCCGGAAGCGGGCCTGTGAGCGTCCAAACAGCCGGATACGAGAACTTGGCACCCGGCGCGATGGAATACGCGAACGGTTATCAAAACCAGTATCAAAATTACCAGGAATACGCGATGTACGCGCCGGGTGCCGCGGTTTCAGCCGATTGGCCCTACCCCGAGGCAACGTATAAAACGCCCCCCATCGCGGAAGTGACTTACAAGACTACGGAGGTCACGTACAAAACTGGGGAATCGTCCGTGTACAGGAATGGAGAAATAGTGGCGTTCAAGAGCGAGCCCGGATACGTGGCGAGGAGTCAGGAACAATTGACTTACAGAGCCGCGGATGGATTCTCCGTCAAGGATCACCAACAACATCATCCGGAACCAGTTTACAAGGAGAACGAGACTATGATGTCCTACAAGTGCCCGTCTAATCCCGCGCCTACCACCCAGCCACCTGGCCAAGATTATTACGTCGGTTACGGTCTTGCTGGGGTCAATAATACCGGAACAAACAACGTGAACGTTGGTATGCAGGGAATCCAGGAACAAACTGGGAACAGTAGTCCTGTGGGCAACGTGAATTCACCGCACAGCGGATGCCAGACACCTGTGACAGATAATAGTAAGTAACAGATAACAGTAATAGTGAGAATAATAGTAATAATATATATAGTATGATAGTATGATAGTAATATAATATAGTGTAATAGTAATAGTTTAATTTGAAATTATTTTATTTATAAATTCCTGAATATAAGCTCTTGTGACAGGTCATTTCTAATTCTGTCCATTTCTTTTTTTTATGAATTTTTTAATTTTTAAAAAGAAGCGTGTGATTTGCATTAATGCAATCTAAGTTGTTCATTGTCTAATTCGTGTCTTCATTTTTTTCTACTTTTCCTTAAATTCCATCCTCGAGAATAGTTTGTAATTATTTGAAGCGTTTTGTTCCTTTTGTTAATCGATAATATTGTTGTTATCATTGATTCTGTTTAATTAATTAACGCAAAGCATTGATACAATGGATTCGAAGAAAAATTGTTACGTGATTTCGGAGTCGAAGACAATGACGGTTGGAAAGGGCCATGTGGAAAATCGCAGACAGTTTACGACCATACAGGCGCCGACTTTCCTAAAACTTAGTAGAGCTACTTGTTCCTAATGCATTTCGCAGTCGTCGAATATCCTTTAAACTTTTAATTCGAGATTAAAATCCATTTCAAATCCATTGCAAATTAGCTATAAAAATTATTCCTATAGTTATTCCACGCTTTTCTTAGAATATATGAATATATTCTATATCCAAGGAATATATAAATAATATAAATAAATGTAAAAA